GCTTTACAGGTAATGGGGAGTCCCCTCCACCACCACCAATGTGCAGCATCCGCCTGGATGATGCGACGGAAGCCATAGTGCGCCAGAATGCTCACTACACATCAGCTATCAGTGGGGAGGAGAGCAGAGTAATGTAGCCAATTCATAGATGGGGATTATTAGGAGGCCATGATTGGTAAAGGCCAATGGGAAATTTGGCCAGGACGCCGGGGTTACATCCCTACTCTTTTTGAGAATTGCCCTGGGATTTTTAATGAATCCCAGGGCGTTTAATGATGATTTAATGATTTTTAATCCCCATATATTTGATATATTTTACATTTTTTTCTCTAAATAGTTTTAGCTTGGTGTTCTGATTTGACAAAATACAAATTTTAAAAGTAATTTTTATTGATAGCTTAATTAGTTAATAAGTTCAGTTTAGTTAGTTTAGTTCAGTGTCTGCTAGTTTGTGTGTATGTTTGGCTCACTTAAGAGGCATAGGTTGGAATGAATATATTCTGTACAATGTATTTTCTATGGCTAACTGTAAAATATAATACATTGGATTGAATACATTCTTTACATTTTATGCATTCAAATTTATTTTAGTTTGATTAATTTCTTTATATTAATCTACAATGCACACCTGAAGAAGGCTCCACTGCTAAAACACAAAGCTCCCCAATTATTTAAACTTACAACAGATCTTTAAATACATTTATTGAGTTAATGTCTTACAAGTAAAGCAATCTGCTTGACATTATATTCCAATCATATCATATTGGAATATAAGCAATAAAGCACTCTTAATTTCTGATTTTTTTCTAATGTATTATACAGTGGCTGTGGGACACCTTTACCAGAAGAGTATATGCACTCTGAAATGACTTATACTGGACAGATTTTACAAGCCACAAAGCATGTGGGATCAACCTATACTGGAACAGATACTTTTGACGATGAACCTCCATTACTTGAAGGTAAAAATATTTTGAGGTGTTTTTTTATTTATTTTCTTCCAATACATATCTACAGGAAGAGTTTCAAAATGTTATGCTCCAGAGCAGAATTTACTTACTTTGCTAAAAATTAGATTTCGAAAGGCTGTTGAGGAAGTTCCCAGTAAAATTTAAATTCTTAAATCATAAACATTGAACCCTCAAGGAAATAAGTGTGTATATGGACAGAAAATGTGTTACTAACTAGAAAACAACAAGTAGAGATAAGGAGGTGAATACTCTAAACAGGGTGAGTACTCACCCAATTAGAGTATTCCTATCAGTAGGGTATTCTTACTATACTGTATATCAATGGTTTATTCACATTTTCTAGATTTCTAGATCCTCGTTTATTCAGTTTTTCTGAGGATACCAAAGTAGGAGAATGAGTGAACACAGCTGCAGGGACAAGGCCTATTATTTCACTTAAAGCTTTCTGATAATCTCTGTGTGCCTTGACCAACCAGTCTGTTGCCTCTCTGTGCAGGTGCAGAGGAATGTGTCTAAAGAGGCTTCTCCAATAAGGGATATTGTAATGCTGTATAAAGTCTAACAATATAATGATGAATAGCGCAGATGGGTTCCAGCAAGTATCCAGTCTGTTTTTTTTCCCAGAACCACAGGCTAAACGTCACTATCCATCACCCAAAGGAAGGTCCACTGTAGCAGTAGATACAAATGAATAAAAGGCACAAAAAGTGTATTGTTGGAGAATTTTACTTTAATGATTGAAGTCTGGTTAGGACTAATTTGATCGATTTGATAAATGCCCCAGAAGCACTGAGTCGTTTTGGAGGAAGGAGAGGTTTAGGATTGTTTTGGAAGGAATTTAAGAATAACGGACTATTGGATAAGGTTTATGTATGTAGTGTGCTCTCACGAGGCACCAGTTCTGTGGGTTTGGGCATTTACTGGGACAATTATTAATTGTAGCAGTAAATCACAAAATGATTCTTTTAATGGCTTTAGAATCCAACCATGCGATATAACTCAAACAACGCACACACACAGTTACTAATAAACGAGGATACATTTATTAATACATAGAATATGCATGTAAACCTAACAGATCTTATCGAGAGGGTTATCAGAATACAAAAGATATGTATTCAGTCAGTTACAAAGAGTTACACATATCAAGAGGACATACGTTCAGTATATCATTCATTTAGACCGTTTCGTAAATGAACTTGGTTATAACTTCTACATTGGATACTCAAAACAAGTACATAACTCTTAGGAATTAAATTGATATCAACTGGTTGGGATAACAATTGAATTCTCGAGCTGTAATGCATTGAAGCTGAATACTCATCCAATCTCTGGGGATTCAGATCTCCTGCGGGCTCTCTAGCTCCGTGCCAGGCTGTGCTGTGCGGCTTGCGACGGTGCGCTGCTGATGCTCACTGAAGACCGGCTAGTTAGTTTGGGCTGAAACTAGCAAGAGTTTGTGCACAGGAGAAAAGATGAAGAGGAAGAGGACCGGTTCGTTCCTGATGAAGCGCTAGTTCTGAATAATGATTCAGCTGTCCACAGTTCCGACCTGTTCACGAGGCTTGCTGCTGATGCTAACCTCGGGTGGATCCTCTGGTTACTCTCTGGCAACCTCCGCTCTAGACTCTTAGAACAAAGGAAAGTTCTGGCACTCGGACACACTGGCCGTTCCGTGGTTGTCTGGGCTGAGTCTCAGGATGGTCAGGAGGCGTGCTGCGAGAATGTCCTGCCCTTGGGAGCCTTCTGCTCCTGGGCCGTCCTGCCCTGGAATTCTCCTTTGAATTCCCTTTAGAACAGTCCACAGAATTCTCCTGAATCCCTTCTGAATCTTACTGAATCTTACTGGCTCTCTGTGTTGCCTGTTTTTACCTGGAGGAACTTCAGCTCATTCATTGGCTGAAAGTTCCATGGGCATCAGAGTCCCACGTGGGTTACTCGGCCCTACCAGTCCCTGATTGGTTGATCAAGGTGAGATATGAGTCACTTACTCCCGACACTTAGGAATGCAGTCCAGATGTCCATCTGGCACTCCCTAGACAGATAGGCGCCAATGGATGACCATTGATCATGATAGCCAGGCTTAGCTAAGAGCATCCCCATTTGGGAGCTGTCCCTTATCAAAAGAAAACATCTTTAAATCAGCCTGCATGAATAGCTTTTCTGTGGTGCAGCCACAGAGATGAAGAGAGAGATGGGGCCTCATTTAGGAAAGCACAGCAACACTTAATTCTGTCTTATTAACAAGCATTGCCGCTACAATGACAAAGATTTACGGATTACGACTTGGATATGGTGTGGATTAGTGTGGACATACGGGCTCGGAAATTTGGATCGTTTAAGGATACTGGCAACGGATTACGGAATGGACTTGGGAAACATACGGATGAAGGACAAAGAAGATCAGTGTGGTGTGAGCTACATCTCTTTTACACCTGTTTTCCCCCGGCGACACCACAATTGGTGGAGGATGCGGGCACTCGCTGCTCGGGTTTGAGAATCAATGAAAGTACTTTTTTTTTTTTTGCGTGTGCGGGTTTTGTTTTGCGTGTGCGGAGAAAAACAATGGAACAGCTAATACAGCAATTGTCCCAGGCCAACCTCGCCCAGTTTCAGGCTTTAAAAGGACAGCAAGAAGCTATCCAAGCGAAACGGGAGGCAAATCTAATTCAAACCGAAACTACCAAACGAATTATTGCAAAGATTAGGGGAAGAATTCAGGCAGACCCCAGTAACAGGGAGAGACACCGTTCAGGCTGAACAAGTTCGGCTACAAAAGATGACAGAACTTGATGATCTGGAGGCTTATTTAACCACATTTGAAAGAACTGCATCTCGAAATGCATGGCCCAAGGAGCAATGGGCCAGCAGAGTAGTGCCTTATTTAATTGGAGAAGCCCAAAAGGTCTATTATGATTTAAAAGAAGAAGATGCAGAGAATTATGAGACTCTGAAAAAGGAGATTTGGGCAAGACAGACTAGGGGTAACCATGGCAATATGGGCGGTCCGGTTTCACAATTGGAGATACCAAATGGACAAGCCTACGAGGTCTCAGATGTTTGACCTGGTACAGCTGGCAAAGAAATGGCTCCAGCCAGAATTAAACCCAGGACAGGTGGTAGAAAGGGTGGTGTTGGATCACTTTGTGAGGAGTCTGCCTGTTCATCTGAAAAGGAAAGTGAATGATGGGGACCCCCAGACACTAGATCAGGCAGTGGACTTAGTGGACAGTCACCATGCCACAGAGGCCTTGATTAGGGAGGAAAAGGGGGACTTTCGAAAAGAGGAGAGAAGAAGCCCCAAGAGTCTGGAAACTGAAATGAAGTACAGTGATTCTCGAGGACCTATACAATTTAAGAAACCCCTTCGGGACAGATCAGACTCAAGGCCCCGATCATGGAAAGAAACCAGACGATGTTTTAATTGTCAGGAAGAAGGGCATTTAGCCAGCCATTGCCTCAGCCTGTCCGAACCCATGCAGGTAGACCCCAGAGATGAAGCTGTGTAACTACCTTACAGCACGGGTCCCAACCTGCAAGGATCCCCATCTTACGAAAATTGAGATAGGGGGAGAACCCGTCGAGGCCTTGTTGGACTCCGGCAGTACTGTGACCCTGGTGACCCCTACAATACTTCCTGGAGAACTGGAGATCCCGGGAACAGAGGGGATACCCATTACTTGCATTCACGGGGATACCAAGGTCTATCCGATGGTAGAAATTAGCATCTCTACGGAACAGGGGACCTACCGTTCAATTGTCGGAGTGGTTAAGCAGTTGCCTTACCCTGTGGTACTGGGACGAGACTGTCCCCACTTCCTCCAAACACTGTCCAAACCCTGTCCGGGAGTCCGTGGTGACGCCCCTAACGATGTCCCAGATGAGACAGACCCACAAGAAGGAGGAACTGGACTTGGAGATGAATTCATAAATATGGATTTAGCGGACTTGGAGCCACCAGAACATCATGGTAGGTTTAGGATGGCCCAATTAGAAAATTTAAAGCATGCATGGGGACATGTCAGGAAAATCAATGAGAAGTGGTGTACTGATTCTAGTACATTGAGTTACCCATATTTCATGATAAAAAATAATCTTCTCTATCAGGTGCAGCAGAAGGGACAGGAAGAAGTGGAACAACTCCTGAATCCCCAGGCCTACCAGATGAAGCTCCTTAACTTGGCCCATAGCCACCTCCTGGGTGGACACCTGGGGGTGAAGAAGACGTCCGAGAGACTACTCTCTAGGTTCTTTTGGCCAGGGATCTATAAGGCCATCGAGAAATGCTGTCGGGAATGCCAGGAGTGTCAGAAAATGGCTCCACAACCTTATTATAGAAACCCTTTGATTCCCCTCACAATTATTGAAACCCCCTTTGAATGGATTGGGATTGATTTGGTGGGGCCCCTAATCCGAGCCACCAAAGGTCACCAATATATTTAAGTGATAGTGGACTATGCTACAAGGTACCCCGAAGCCATTCCGTTGAGAGCTGCCACCGCCAAAAATATAGCTAGGGAGCTAGTACAACTGTTTGCTCGGGTCGGAATTCCTAAAGAGATCTTAACTGATCAAGGAACTCCTTTCATGTCTAAAGTCATGCGAGACTTATGTAAGCTACTGGGAATACATCAGATCCAAACCTCAGTCTATCACCCTCAAACCGATGGGCTAGTCTAACGCTTTAATAAGACCCTGAAAAGCATGCTGAGGAAGGCTATGCAAAAGGAAAAATTGGGATCAGCTGCTCCCGTATCTCATGTTCGCGGTACAAGAAGTGCCACAGGCCTCGACTGTTTTTTCCCCATTTGAATTTCTATACTCTCGGAAACCATGGGGCCTGTTAGACGTGGTCAAGGAATCTTGGGAACACCAACCCTCACCTTTACAGACCATCATCGAACATGTGGAACAAATGAGAGAACAAATAAACGTTATTGTTCCCATTGTGAAAGAAAACCTGGAGAAAACACAGGGTCAACAACAATAAG